TGTTAAAACATAAGAAAGGGGGAGAGAGATGGGGGAGCCGCCGTTCACCCAACTGGTGTTAGCTCCTCTACTGATCAGCGCCGCCCACTGCGCGGCTGTATCTCGACAAGTCAACCCGCCCCTTTTCGGTCAGCTAGCACTAACGATTTCCATCTTGGCACTGCCCGTGTTTGGCTTTTCTCAAAAGCAGTGCTCTTTAGCAAGAAAGGCGCGCCATCGTTTCGGGATGAAAATTGAAAATGTGGAATCGAGGCGCTGCCACTTGTCTTATCAGTGGCCTCGAGAAGTTGAAACTCGCATTCATCCCACCAATATGGCCCGGAAACAACGAAAAACCCGGTGTCGAAGATTGAAGAAACCAAAAAAAAGTTGGAAAGACTATCTCAAATCTCTCTTCATAACCATTGAACGTTTTTTGGACGATATTTCGTAAAAATGCAAGGAAACTACCGAAAAGATTTGAAAACCCGCATAGGAGATTCATATCAAGACATCACTGTACCATATTGGATCTACCACACATATTAGAACCTTTTCGAGAAAACGAGCTCATAACATCGTCCAGAAAGCCGTTTATGAGGTATGGAAGGAAGTTAAGGTGAACTTTTGCAAAACACTTTCTCGGTATACACCTGTCACGAGTAACACTTCGAGCAGTATCCCTTTGAAAGACGATTAAATCGATGAACAGTCACTGTTGGTTTTTTTATGAACGTCGTTGTGCATATATTTGCATAATTAACCCATCACAGTTAACGTGAAAAATAGCGGTTTCTTTTATATATTTAAAATATCAACAAACAACAATTCAACGTCACCTAGATCTCAAATTTCTCCAACAACTAACATTTTTCAACAACTTGCAACACAACAACAACTACGAGTTTTCAATTACTGCTTGCTCGTAGAAGATGTAGAACGATTACATTATATTATAGTAACGTCTATCAAATTTTACGGTTTGAATCAAAAATGTAAGATTGAGTTGCTATTTGAGATTAGGTTTCCTTTCTAGGACTTGTAACTTCCATTTCGTGTCGGTATTTATCGTCGGTGCAATCATCTCAGGCTCTGAAATTGATTGTTTTAAAAAAAAAATGATGAGAGATAACGTGATTCCTTGTGCAAAAAGTATTTAAAGAAAGAAAATGCACAATGTGGTTAACAACCAGTTGCAAAATTCTTTTTAACATAGTAAAAATGAGCACAACGTCCATTAACGGGAACTTTTTCCATTTCAAGCAATCTTTGCAGAATTCTTAGTACGACTTTAGTCACGAAATTTAATAAAACCAAAAGGGAGCACCACAAGCGCTTGCCTAAAACGATAACTCCAGGCATTCCACCATCATTTGGAAAAGCGAACACATCGTCTACAGTATACTGAAATTGAATTTCTATTGAGAAGTTAGGGAATATGTCATGAAATTTTTCAAAATACCAGTGCATATAGTGGTCCTGGTAAATCACGAGGATGAAGCTTTTGAGGCCAAATGTGGTGCCTATGCGACAGAGCGTTGCTTATAAAGTGTTCAACAGACGACTGAACAGAACTGGCTAATTCCCATTCGTCGATGCTAACCAGAGCAGGCAACAGTTGCACTAATTCAGCTAAAAGCGAAAATCAGTTCATAAAAATAAACAGAAGAGAAGAAACTTACTAATGATGTCGTTAATCCAATTGTAGTGAGCAGCTATAGCGAGTAGAAGTGCAGAATCTTCGTATTCACCACCCTCTTTTAGCGATTGCTTTTTCCTATCAATCTAAACATTACATTTTTTCAACAGATTTAAGCAGTTTGATATTTTGAGAATTCTGGATGACATCGAGATTACGAATGATATATAAATTTTCATAAGAAATAAAGCACGGGGGGAGGGGGGAGAAGGTCTAGCCAAATGTAGCCTTAAAGGCAATGTCCGGACAGGATGATGACGGCTGACTCCCTGATTGAGCTATTCTCAAATTC